TTCTTGACATACATCCTCGCTCACTCTAGGCATTTGAAGACCGCAACAATCTCCCTGAGCCCCACCATTGATCTTGAAGAGCAAGAGTTGATCAAAGAGGAGTTAGAAGATATTCCTAGGGTTTCTTAACATCTCAGCTTTTGTTCAAATAAAACTTCTGAAGCTCAATTAATTTTTATTTTTATTTTGGTCACGACAAGGTAGCTTACTTGTTGTGCAAGGTTTAAACTTGTCATCGAGGAGTTGATTGATGTTTATGAAATTATTTATAATCTCCTTGGCATTATTCATGAAACCGGAGAAAAAAGGGCTTTAGTTTATTGAGATCGACCTAACAAATTAGAATTCATATATAACTTGATTCTTTGATCGGATCCAAAGCCTTTCATATCTGCAAAGTTGGCTCAGTTTTCACTCACGAGTTATTTTGTCTTTATACCAAATTTTCAAGTAAAGTAAATTATGACCAAGTGAAAAACTAGCATTCTATGACAATGTGTATTGAGATTTAGGTCCTCAACATTTTGGTCACACTGATGGATGCAACATGAAAAAATGGAAAGTGATCGCAAATGTTCACAAAGCCCCACACCAATCTCAACAAAAATTTAAGATGCAGAGACATCACGTGCTACAAAAACATTTAAAGAAGGGAAGAAAAAGGGACACGCAGGAGCGGCATCATGTGCTCATGAAGGAAAAATGGTAAAGGGGCAAATGATATGATGTGCTTTCTCTCTCTCGAGACACGTGAAGAGGACCTCCAACATGAAGAGCAAGTCCATTGTTTTCACGTATATAGGATATCATGATCAACAACAAATTATGTGTTGAATAATATGGATTATACACGTTCGGTTGTAGATCGTGACCAAAACACAAAAAAAAATATACTTATAACAGTAAAACTAAAATGAGGAATTACATGAAAGAATATAACCCGTTTTTAAAGCATATTATTAATAAGCTAGGAAATATTCTCTTAATAACCCGGAGTATAATTGGGAAATGTTCTGATTCTGAATAGTGAAAATAGCAGAGGAACATTTTTTAAACGTCAAAACAAAATATTAATAACAAAAACCAACAAAGACAGTGTACCAAATAAGTAAACGAGAAACATAGTCTGAGAAAGAGAATTTCTCAGAGGCAGCCTCATTCATTCATCTCCAACCTCCCGGGCTCCCATCGATGTGCACTCCTCCAATGCTGTGC